GTGTGTGTGTGTGTGTGTGTGTGTGTGTGTGTGTGTGGGGACACGCTTTCGCTACATCGTGAGGATCATTTTCCAGAAAAAAACAGCCTTGTGGGGATCCAGTGTACGGATGCTGATTATGGGTGGGGGGATTCGGTTTAGGACCACAGTGTGAATTGAGTTTAGGCTAGATTTAGGGTCTTGTATGTACTGGGGTGGTTGGGTTTAGGATAAAGGTTGACTGGTAAATGAATGGAAGTCAATGCAAAGTCCTCATGAGGATAGAAAAATAAACGTGTGTGTGTGTGTGTGTGTGTGTGTGGTAACTTAATATGTACCAGTCCTTCTGTGATTCTTCCTAAACCCAGCTGGTCGAGGCAGATGGCCGCCTGTCCTGAGCCTGGTTCTGGTTCTGGTTCTGCTGGAGGGAGTTTTTCCTCTCCACTGTCACCAATGTGCTGCTCAGGATGGACACTGATGAAGTGATTCAACACAATCTGCTGGCTTCTTTAGATTTTTTTATTTTTTATTTTTGTACAGAGATCTGAGACAATATATGTTGTGACTTGGTGCTTTATAAACACAATGAAATGAATTGAAATGAATGTACCATGTACCAGCCTTACAAGTTTTTTGCTGTAGTAGTTTTGTGAGTTTTTTTTTTTTTTAGGTGTGAGCTGCGTGTGTTACTACCTTTTGAGTTAGGAAAGTGATGAACTGATTGATTCTGGTTTTATGCAGGTAAGAGTTATAAAATTAAGTCAGGCATGTTTTGCTTGTTGTTTTGGCCTGGGCTCACGTTAAAGTTAAGAGACTCCACGTGAGCGCTGGAAATAAACGACACTTTCTATAAAACCACAACKTATTCCTGTGGCTGTTTTGAACAATGCAAAGTTTGGAATTTCCCATATKTGTTGCACCCTGACTGCTCCTAGACAGGGTGTAACAGCCACTTTTGGCCCGTGGTCTCCAGGAGCAGACACACAGGCAAAAACCATCCTGCCTGACTGTTTTTCCTCAGTCAATTAGCACAACTTTATCTTTCTGTAAGTCATGTTCGACGATTCCACCACACACCTGGCGAAGTTGATGGCCAATAATGGATCGTGGACGTCGTCGGTCTCCAGGTGCTGCGCCATGATGGACTGCATCTTTATCAGGCTTCTGCTGGTGGCCTGCTGCTCCGTCACAGCATCCGTGGGCGTCTCCTCCCTGCTGCTCAGACGCGACTGCACCGACTCCAGAAACAGAGTGTATAAACTCTTCCTCTCTGCATCTGAAAAGCGAGGTTTTAGAGCTGTTTAAACAAAACGTTACGGTAATAAAGGAACAACTAACGGTGGAAACACAGACCTCTGGAGGATTTGTGTGACTGCTCGGTCTCCTTACAGTCCAGATTTCGGAGCAGCTGCATGGACTTCCCTGCCATGATGATCTGCTTCAGGACGGGTTTGAGGAAGGACACCATGGTGAGCTGCCTGTTGTTGGAGCTCTGCTCCCCTCCTGAGCTCCCGCTGGCTGCGTCGTTCATCTTCTCCTCCTCCACCATCTCTGACACGCTGTACAGGGTGTACGTGGCGTACCAGAAGTCCCTGTGGTTTACAGGCACGTCCTTGTTTCTGGGCAATGAAAGATGGAAAACACTCAGCTTTACGATGCTTCGGCTTCTTGGTAAGTCTTTCCTGCCACCTACCTCTGGATGATGAACTCCTTAGCGGGGTCAAACAAATGGCCGTGAACAATCCACTCATCCACAATCTCTAAATACGGCCTGACGGTTTCTGTCCACAGAGAAAACAGCAGAGCCACCTGGCGAAGAATCATCACCCACTTAGATACAAACATCCATAAACTCCACCCCACACGCAGAAGAACTCACTCACAGTTTGCTCCGACGCCTCTCCGACGCTGTCGTACTCGATGATGGCCTTGTAGAGGGTGTTGAGCAGGTGAGAGGCCCGCACAACGTTCGGGGTGGCAGGTGGAACCTCAGCCACGCCCGTGCAGAAGACTTTGTGCAGCACTTTGATCTGAGCCAGGTGAGAGCCAAGTCGCTCCAAAACCGCAGACAGGGTGACCGTCTCATCTGCAAAAACACAACAACTCAGCTAACAACATCAAAACACAAACATCAAGTCATAGAAGCATAACGCTACTGAGGTTAAAGGTTTCATTTGGGATTTGTGACATCATTTACAAATTACATTAGTAAACACGGGGCCTGAAATTCACTGCAGGATTGCAGGTATTATGATCGATCCTCGCAAATCTAGTTTTTACAGTGGAAATCCCCACATGCGATACATTCCAGTGATGTGTAATAACATGAACGTTTGCATTGGACTCCCCACTCTGAAACATGTGGGGATTTCCCACAAATTTCAAAAGTGAATTTCAGGCACTGAGACACCAGGCAAACAGCTGACAATAAAAAAATAATCATTTAAAATACTGCTTCAAGAACAAAATGTCTTGAATGTAATTTCTACACATCATTACTGACTTTACTACAAAAAACCATCAATTACTGACATCAAAACATTAAATAAAACTGGTAATCAACCTGACTTTGTAATTTTATAGGAGGAGTAYTATGCAAAAACATTTTTTTGAGCTTTATATCACATTATACAGGTCCTTCTCAAAAAATTAGCATATTGTGATAAAGTTCATTGTTTTCAATGTACCGATAAATATTAAACTTTCATATATTTTAGATTCATTGCACACCAACTGAAGTAGTTCAAGCCTTTTATTGTTTTAATATTGATGATTTTGGCAAAAAAGTAAAGAAAAACCAAAAATCCCTATCTCAAAAAAGTAGCATATCATGAAAAGGTTCTCTAAATGACTTATTAACCTAATCATCTGAATCAACGAATTAATTCTAAACACCAGCAAAAGATTCCTGAGGCTTTTAAAACTCCCAGTCTGGTTCATTACTCAAAACCACAATCATGGGTCAGACTGCTGACCTGACTGCTGTCCAGAAGGCCATCACTGACACCCTCAAGCAAGAGGGTAAGACACAGAAAGACATTTCTGAACCAATAGGCTGTTCCCAGAGTGCTGTATCAAGGCACCTCAGTGGGAAGTCTGTGGGAAGGAAAAAGTGTGGCAGAAAACACTGCACAACAAGAGGTGACAGGACCCTGAGCAAGATTGTGGAGAAGGGCCGATTCCAGACCTTGGGGGACCTGCAGAAGCAGTGGACTGAGTCTGGAGTACAAACGTCCAGAGCCACTGTGCACAGGCATGTGCAGGAAATGGGCTACAGGTGCCTTATTCCACAGGTC